AAAGAGAAGTAAAAGCTGAATTTCTAAAAATCAATAGGTATTAGATTAATGAAAATGAGCAGTTCAGGCAGAGGAAATAGCACATATGACTTCCTAGAGGAACAAAAGTATGAAACAACTCTTAGTTATGACCAGAGTGAATGATACATGTCAAGGATAAGAGATGAAGACACAGGATCAGAAGGGGAAGGTTATGAACAGTCTGTTCAGATTAATTCCAATTTCTAAAAAAAAAATCACAAAAAGGAAACCCAAAGGGTCCCAAGGCCAGCTTGAAGAGAGGTTAAATTTTGGGTGGAAAGAGAAAGGCTGTGACACAAAGCAGGGAGCATAGCCCGTGAGGCTTGCTCAGTACCAAGTGTGGGCTGGTAGGGAGGATGGCAAGGCAGAACCAGGCTGGGATGGCAGGATGACATGAGCCAACTTACAGAAGAAGATTTGTTTTGTTTTCAATACATCTCTAGGTGATCTATTTTCAGGTTGATTTTGACCAAACTGCTAGGAATCCACTTTGACTATAATGCCAGAAATGAACTGTGACTTACAAGGGCTGGATGAGGAAAATCATACAGTCAGACCAAATGTAACTCACATCATATTGAGATGTCCATCCAGGGGGTTGGTGTGATTGATGTCAACAGTCAAAATCAAAACAAATCAGAGAGAGTACAAGAGTGAAAATCTTAAAGCTGTTGTTTTAGGCATAATTTAAAATGAGTAATAATGATATTTTCAAGAATGTTGAGATCCAAATTTCTAGAAAAACATTAGTGTAGGTTAATTTATTTGGGTTTAAAGAAAAGCTCATCCAAGCCAGAACCCAGTGTTCATTTTAGCATCCTCTTGTTTCCATCAGTTTCATAAAACCTTCTTTGAGAACTCAAGGTGCTCAGTGGTTATTGCATATTGTTCCCTGGATTCTTTGTGATCAGTGTTGCAATATACAAAATGGAGGATTTCTAGAACTAGTGGAGAAGGAAATGTGAGGCTGATAATTCTGTGCACTTTTTTTTTTTTCTCCAGGATTCTGTGTCTGGATGGAGGAATGTCTTTTTCCTTGCTGCTGCTGTCAACATGTTTGGCCTGGTTTTTTACCTTACATTTGGACAAGCAGAAATCCAGCCCTGGGCCAAAGAGAGGACTCTTACCCGTCTCTGAGGATATAGTTGCATACTTAAATGTAGTACTGACCATTAACTTTTTCAACATTTTTTACTTATCATCATTCTTTTTTCATATTCTTGGCCATAGGCTCAGCAGTTCTCAATTTCGGTTACATGTTAGATTTCCCTGGGGAGTTTCTAAAGCATACAGATGAATGGGCTCTACTCAAGAGATTCTGAATGAATTGGTCTGGGATAAAGCCCAGATATCACTAGTATTTAGACACTCCTCAGGATTTCTAACATGCAGCCAGGGTTGACAAACTGCTAGACAAACTTGAAACATCAATTCCTGTTGCCTTTGAATTTTCCTTTTTGTAAGAAACTAGATAAAAAGCTGTGTGAAAATAATCACTGATAAGTACCTTCATGAGGGCGATTATAGACACAGAGAAGATCTACTAGAACCAGAGTTGTATGTTCTAGAGCTCAGCACAGAATTTTAAGGCTGTAATCCACAGCATTAACATTTTTATACATTGAGAAACATGGATGTTTATTTATGTGGTTACATTCTATTAAAATTCACATGCTAAAATTAAATGGGCCATTTAAAAATTATTTACATTAGGATTATTTCCATCAGGCAAAATAGATATTTATTTATCCTAGTTAATTTCCAGGAGATTAACAACCAGGAAATGACAAGGAGAAGATTAAATTAGGCTATAACTGAAAATCATGGGAGAGAGAAGATAGAATTGGAGAGCTTACAGTGTAAAAAGAATGGATGTGAAGGGAAGCAATGGCAGTTCTAGAAGAGACATTGAGATAGTTTGGTCCGTAGAATGAAAATTAGAGGAAGATGACAGAGGCATTTTCAAATGAAATGAAGACTTAAATGGAGGAGAGGAATACTGAAGGTAAAACAAGATGGAAGAAATCATGGAACAATATCACACACCAGAGGAATTCCTTTTTAGGACTGAAAAAGATCATTTGACCTTCTTCTGATTTTCCTTATTTGCCCAAGATTCTCAGATAGTCATCATCAACCCCAACAGGAATTCATTCTGTCTCCTAACCCTTAAAACACATCCTCTAGGTTGTCTCTACACAGAGAGCTGATGTCAGTTTTGCTGCAACTATTCCAGAAGAGAAATTCTTAGCATGTTTAGAAGCCAAGTAGAACCACAGAGACTAAAGCCTTGAGCTGGTTTAGCAGATAAAGAGAATCTCCTAATGCAAATCAACAGGTATTTTTGAGCAGGTGCTTTAAAGAAAACAGATTGACAGGCTATGAGGGTGATAATGAGATACGAACACTCTGGCTCTGTCTTCTGGGTATTTACAATTTAGAGAGGAAGGAGAGTTTGTAGTAAACAAAATGAAGAAAAAAAGAGAGGAGTAGTAAAATGAATTAAATTAAATATAGGCAAATTAAATACAGGCAAAAAAAAAAAACCCAACAGACAACACAATAGGCAAATATTTTGAAGAAAGACTTCATAATAGAGAAATTCTAAGTGGCCTATAAACATATAAATCGGTGCTCAACTTCCTTAGACATTAGATAAATGCCGACGCAGGGGACACAGGTTCGTGCCCCGGTCCAGGAAGATCCCACATAACGTGGAGCGGCTAGGCCCATGAGCCATGGCCTCTGAGCCTGCGCGTCCAGAGCCTGTGCTGCACAACGGGAGAGGCCACAACAGTGAGAGGCCAGCATACTACACACACAAAAAAAAAACCACAGTGAGATACCACTACATGCTTAACAGAAAAGACAAAATAAAAGAAGATGGAAAACAGCAAACGTTGGCAAGGTGTGGAGCAACTGGAATTCTCACACCCTATGACTGTAAGTATAAATCCGAACTCGGGGAAATCTTCTTAGCAATATCTCCTAAAGCTAAATTTAGACATTCCAATGACTTAAACATTTCACTTAGAAATGTACATAGATATTTGGAAAAAGATGTACAACAGTGTTCATAGGAGCACTACTTATAGTAGCCCAACAGCAAACAAAGTGTCAAGAGAACAATGAGTTAAAAAAAAATTATGGTGTGTTCATACAGCTATGAGAATAAATAGACCACAATACACAACACCATGGATGGATCTCATAAGCACAATTTTAAACAAAAGAAGACAAAAAAAACTTATTCAAGAAGTTTAAATAGTTTTAAAAAAACAAAAACAGAAAAAACTAGTCTATTAAAAATCAGGTTAAGAATTCCCCTTGAGCAGGAGTGGAAAGGGGCACTTCAAGGAGGCTCCTGAGGTGCTGGTAATGACCTATTACTTGGGTGCTAGTCACATGGGTGTTTTTACTTTGAGAAAAGTGTATATTTATGATTGGTACGTTTTCGTGTATATAAAAAGTAAAACATTTACTTAAATTCAGTGTTTCATCCACTTCAAAGTTTCTCCTCTCTTTTCAGCTTAGGTCTGACAAATGGAGCAGTTGGGAAGGAGGCGTGGTCTCTACTTTCACGTGCTCCCTGATCATCTCTCTCCTCCTCCTTTGCCCGATCCTCCAGCATCAGAGCAGGAAGGAAGGCAGCAGGACAGTCTGTGTTGTCAGCTTTTGGATTAAAATGTAAGTTCCCAAACAGCAAAATGAATGAGCTTGGGCTTCCTAAGAAACCCAGTCCCTGGAAGAATTGGTCATCGGTGGTAAAGGTAAAAATAATGGCTCAGCACTTCTAGGCTTTCTGAGCACCTGCTATGATCGATTCCTGACAAATAACATCTGTGTGTCAGAGACGCTTCAGTTATCTTTCTCCATTTGATGGTTTGAAAAAGTTACCATTCACATTTCCTAATGGCTTCAGAATAAATGCATTCTGAGTTGATAGGAAGCATCTCTAACCCATCTCCCCCATCCTAAAGAGTTGTTTCTGATTTAACAATTCTTTTCTAACATTCATTTCTAACATTAATGTGAGTTAGTTCGCTTTTCTTGAATAGCTTATTGACATCTATTGAACAATGAGATGATCTGCTTTCTCTCTTTTGACTGTTAAATATTATGAGTTATATTAATATAGTTCTTAATGTTGAGCAGACTGTTCCTTGAGTATCCTTTCAATAAGCCAGAGGATTTGATTCACTGATAGTTTATTTAGGACTTTGGCTGCTGTATTGGTATATGACACTGGCTCTGTATGCGTGTGTGTCATATCTAGATATGGGGCTCATGCTGATTTCAAAAAAAGAAAGGGAAACTTTCCTTATTCCCCAGTACTCTGAAAAAATTAACTAGAACAGAAATTTTATCATTGTTATTATTATCTGAAGGACTGAAAGCATTGGTTTGTAAAATTATGCAGGCTTAAAGCTCCTTTGAGGAAAGTTCTTTGATAAGGTTCTTAATTTACTCATTGGTATGGGCCTGTTAAGGGGTTCTATATTTTCTTCTATCAGTTTTGACAACTTAAGGTATCTTGGAAGACCATCCATTTTATACACAATTTAAATTATATTTGCAAAATATAATTATTAATTATGGTTTATCAATTATCTTTTTACAATATATTCATTTTTTCTGTAGCTGAGGTTTGAGCTTCTTTTATACCTGTGACATGGTTCATGTGTGCTTTCTTTCTGCTTCTTCATTAGACTACTTATGATTTATTTATTTCTAAGAGATCTTGTCTTTTATTTTTTAATATATTAGCTTTATCTTTTGTCATTCTTACTTCCTATTTCCCTTTGTTTTACTTCCTGTAAATTTTGTTTTGAATATTGAGTTCATTTATTTTTATTTAATTATGAAAGAATTTAAAGCGTAGAGGAAGACTTCTACTCTAAGTCCTCTTGTGTGGGAAGATTACATTTTACTGTGTTGTGACCCCAAATTTATTGTTTTCTAAATGCATTATTTCTTAAATTAATAACCTGTGGAGTAAAAGAGCAATTGTTGACTCCTACCTTACATACGATGAGGAAACTGGTTCACTGAGACATCCAAATATCTCACCTAAGTACAGTCCCTTGTTTGCATTGCTGTTCTCTGAAATTTCGCTCTAACTTGTTGCAGTTAATGTATTAGTGTTGCATTGAGTACTTTGCATACAAGAACTGCATTCTATCGAGCATCATCATTGTCACTGTTACTTGGATATAATTCAAGGGTCAGTAGGGTGAGGCAAGCCAGGTGCCCAGGGAGGCACTCTTCCTCAGGCTCATTTCGTGCAAGCACAAGATTGGCACATGAGAGTGAGTATCTCCTTAATTTTGTACCATGGACACCTCTCGCTTACCTTAGCCTAGCCCTAGCCACTGACACTTCTTTTCATGAACCAACCCCCCTCCCACTTCTCAAAATATTTCAGTGGAGATTATTTTGGAACTTGGTACTTGGATGAATCCCATAATAGTGGAGAATTTCTTTTTTCATATGCCATATTATCATTATGGAGCCTTAATATATTAAAATATTAACTTAGCCAGTATTGACTTCCTGCAAGTCTTTTCTGATGTCTAATATAATAAGGAAGTCTGGTTAGCCAGCTAACTTTTGTAGGAGAGATATATTTAGGCTCAGTGGTACAGGATTATCTCTTTAACCTGGAATTCCATACTTTCCCCAAAATGTTATAAAGTGTAAATTACTTTCAACCAATGTTGCTTTGAACATTATGAATAATTTGCTTTTCAGCTAGTGGTCTTAAGAGTTTCTTTCCTTGTATCTTTTTTTCTTTTCTTTTCTTTTACTTTGCTTTCTTCATGGACTTCTCATTGCTGAAAGCACATGAACACATTTCCCAAGGTCTTCCCCGACTTCCATAAGTTCCAACTTATTTCCTAAAATTGCCTGAAAATATGCCTATGTTCACACTATCCCTCTTTCCATTAAAAAAGAAAACAGGCATCCACACTTTACTGTGGAACAGTACCTAGAATGTAAACAAATGGTTTCTAAATATTGGTTTGGGGGTTACCTATTAATGATTAATATTCATCTGGCTTTTGGTTTTCCTGCCTTTCCTTGTCTGCTGTGTGTGCTCTTATTAGAGATTGGCCAGAGTTGGAATGTTCTGAGTT